TGTGGTGTAAGCATCAGTTTTTTTTTTTTTTTTCCTAAATTTTCTGATGCTCGGACACTTGTCATTGCCAACCTCATCAGTCATTCAGCCGTTTTATCACAAACAGCATTAGCGCACCTGCGAGAGGGCGGTAATAGACAACTACAGACATTACTGCCTCCTTCGGAATTCTGGGCATTTTCGTGGTTTTTCCCTTGTGTAACGTGTATACGAGCCAGTTTACCTGAGAAAGACTTCCACGAAGGCATCCGTCCCCTAAGGCAGACAGCCCTCAAAGCTTAACCATAATCACAGAAACCTCCGGAATTCAAGCCAGAGCCCTGCGACACCGCAGCCAGATAATCCAACCGTTATACTAAAGAGAGAGCTGTTTATTGTTCGTTTAAAGAGTCATTGTTTATCTTATTCCTATTATATACTTATACCTTAGGTATAAGTATGGAGTGACTCTGGAATGCTACTGGAATCCATACTTATATCATAGGCCAAATACGAAAACATCATGTAACGTCTCGCAGTCCGTTCGGCAGCTATAAATGTGCCCCAGAATGAAATGACTAAGATAGAATGTACAGGACAGCATTGCATTTCAGTGCAGTGTCCTGTTTCAGAATATGTCCTAGAAGTTAGTTGTACGTATTCTGTAAATATTCCTGAATCTTGTAAATATACTTGACATAAATGTTGTCAACTCAGCCCCATTTCCTGATTAAATGTTTCTGTGTAATTAGAAATACTTTCAGTAATAAAATATATTTTATAAGTATATGTTTTATGGAAATAATGAGGTCAACAAAACAGCTAATTTGTGAAAAAAATTTTGGATTTTCTCTTTCATTTACGCTCCGCTCCGTAATAATAAAATAGTGGACATGAAAATTAAAATTACTTGAAGCATTTTAAGTGGGATACATTTGGAAAATATTGTAAAATGTAAAACAAGCGCAAAAATTAACTCCCCCCCCAAAAAAAATAATGGTTAAGTTCCAAAAAATATTTTTAACTTAACGATTAACATCCGAAGAATATACTGGCAAAGAATAATAAACTGTAATAAATTTTTCAATGAATTATTGCATATAGAAAGCTATAAAATATCCTAAACATTAAAAATAGTTGCCCGAGTATGAAAATGAAATTCTGCAAAATGGAGAGTTATTTTCCCAAAATATGCACAATTATGTTCTTTTCAAATTTGTAACGTTAATAACTGAACTCCGCTTATCGGAAACAATTGCAGCAATACGGTACACATTTCGGCAATAAACACAGCCAGACTTCTCTCGCGACCACCTCTAAAATTTGCACAATATCTCTAAGAACACAGATAACGCTGGCATTGAACATCAACAATAGTCATATTCTCTAACAAGATCGCCTTCAAGACGGCAAAAATCGTTTGGAACCATGGGATCTTAGCTTGGTGGCATTTTAATATGTGAGAAACTGAAAAATTTGTTTTTTCTCCGAAAGCCGCCGAAAACGCCTTATTCTTCAGTAGGTTCGGAAAAATTTGGTCACTTTTAGAGTGAGCGAATAATATATCATGAATTAACTACATGGCCGTTTGTAATTTGTAAAGAATGGTTTGGTTTATGACTACAGCAAAACACGCGAAGTCTATCTGTTTAAGAGAAGGATACCTTCGTGGAAAATTTTCTATGGGAAACTGGCTCTTATTTTTTTCCCCTCGGTACACACGGGAAGCCCACAAACACGCCCATGCAGCCAGTCGGTTCGGCTAGGATCAAACATGATAGAACTTGGTAAATCTTTAGATTATGGTAATTTGGCGATTTTTTAGCGAAAATTTGGCGACCAACCCTGCTACAGCAACCTTCTAGTTTTGTTTTAGACACCACTTTTATTTTTTTTTTTTTTTTTTTTTTTTTTTTACTCAAAATTTTTTTCCAACAATCTGCTAGCCGAATTACGCTTATACTAGAACTTTTATGGAACAAAAATGCTTAATCATGACGAAGATTAGGTGGAAATTGGGAGAAAGTGCAGAATCACCAAACTTGCTTGACGCGTTTTTAAGAATTTGCACATACTCGGTGTCCATGTACACATCGACCTATTTTCACTTAAAAAAAACATTCCAGAATTGCACAAAAGTGGCACTGCGCGCACTCTTGACTTTATCTATGTACACATCGACCTATTTCCTCTTAAAAAGTAAAAGAAAATTGATAAAAATCTATTTGTTTTTACTCCTTGTAAAAAGCGGAAAAACAAATAAGTGGGCGATTCTGCACTTTAGCAGCGAAATTGTTTGACTAAGTGCTTATTAGCTAAAATCACGATTGGAATTTTGCCAAAAAATGTTACATTACATGTCTCATGATCTCTCATTTCTCTGAGACAAAATAATCTGTGATTCGAACTGTGTACTTCTCAGATTATTGCTAAAGTCCTAGCTAGTAACCTTTATCGCCTTATCAAAATGTCGCCAAACAACCTGTTACCATATTCTAAAGATTAGCCTAGAACTTTAATCATGATAGCTTTTAGTGAATTTACCGCTCATCAGCAAGTGTGAGTGATAAAGAATGCATCTTAAAACATAATTGTATTTTAATATAATCTACAACATTATGTATCGGATAAGTTTAACTTATATTAGCATTATAATGCAGTCCATAGTAAAGCACCCAACAGCAGCCGAGCGGTAAAGCCACTAAACACTGGTAGTTCGGTCCGAAGTTCGAATCCCGCGAATGGCTGGCTGCATGGGCGTTTTTCTGGTTTTTCCCATGTGTAACGTGTATGGGAACCGGTTTCCCTTAGAAAGTCCTCCACGAAGGCTTCTCTACCCTTACGCAGACAGCTCTCAAGGCTTTGCCGTGATGTCAGAAAACCAAACCATAGGTAAAGCATATATATTTTCTTATTTTCTCCATTTCCAAGAGATAAGGGTTGGAGCCTCTTATAAATACCAAAATTTTACCATATTTAAAAACCTATCATTAAAAAAGCAGACTTATATTTCGCGAAAACGTTCTTTTTCGTGAATATGAAATACTTTATGGTTAGATTAAATTTTTCAAAATAGAGTATAGCTTTCAAAAGAAACTTTAACCTCGTCTAAACATGCACTTACGTTATTTAGTATCGAAATGTTTAGATGCTAAAAAATAAAAGCTAATGGATCCTCAGAGAAAATGTAGCTTAGCCTCTTCTTCGTTTCTGCCCGTTATCGACCGAAAACACTCAGTCTGAAACAAAAATGGCCAGTATCTTCTTGCTTGTCCCTTTAATTGGATTTACGAAACCTTATAAAGTTACTTACTTTAGATTTGGCAGACTTCTATTGGCATTAGCTAGGAAAACAACACAAGTTGAAGCAATTTTGTTTAAAGTAATAACGTAAATGAGTCTCTTCTGAAATGCGCTTGTAAAATTATATGTGACTCAAAATGTAGTCTCCTGTCATTTTGATGCTGGAATATCAAATTACATAACCCACATGCTATAAAAGTAATGCAGTTTTCGTTGTTTTTCTATTCGAGTATAAAAGCTTTTAAGCAAGATTTGCAAAAAGCATTGCGATGTATAAAATTCTCGTAATCAAATCATCTAAAATTTTTGTAAAAGAAATACAATTTATAAGCTTTTCTTATTTTACAAACAGGTCCAGCGATTATGTTAAATTCTCTCCAATAATTCTCACATTTAGTTAACATAGTCTAAAAAAAATATGAGCAAACTGTGTCAAATATTTGTTACAGAATGTATATTATGCTTTGTTCCGTATAGCCAATGTACAAGAGGATTAGAAGTTCTCAATACAAACTTTAAACGGAAGCAGAAAACAGATAAATAAAACTTTTCATTAATGAAGGGTGTGTCTACGAGCAGAGGCGAATGTATTTCTTTATTATTTTTATTTGCTTCTTTATCTTTTTTAACCTACGCCAGACCTCGGGTTTTCAACCATTATTCCCGTCGGACAGCTCAGTAAAGTAAAATGTAAACATCTGCAGAATTACTGTCTGCAACGTCATTAAAATAAGACTAATTAATTGTAAAGGTGGTCGCTAGTCATGCCATCCAAGCTGCGTAGCGGGCACAAAGGTAAATTTACCAGCTCCATACGATGAAGATATTTTTGCAAATTGTCATGGCCAATTCTGGGGTGAATTTATGAAGTTTAGCAATCGAAGCCACGGGTGACCCCAAATCATTTAGGAAAGACAGAACAGGAGTAGGTGAAAAGGATACGAGAACTTTAAAATGATGCAAATTATAGACTGTTTTTATATGTGTATGTCTAATATCATTTTCCTTATTTTATGTTAAGTAAATCTATACGTAAACCACACATTCTCATTTGGTGTTTTACACATTTATGTTAAAATACTCCTGAAAACCACATAAATTAAAATCAATACAGAAGTAAAATTTAAAATTTCAAGTAAAGCAACATCTCTCTCTCAACACTAATTATGTAATGTCTTACTGAGAATTCTAAAGAGAAATCATGAATAGAAATCGAAGTGAACAATTTTATGAATTATCTCAAAATTAATTTTACTTAATTTTTTATTTTAATTCTTCTTTTTATTTTTTCCGAATATATCTTAATTTTATCATAAATGTCAAATATTACTAGATGTTATGGAGCCTTTTTTAACATCAATATAAGTTACATATTCAGTTATATAGGCCTATAATTATTTAGTTAAATATTACTTATTTCAGTAAATGGTATTTATTCTGTTAACATACATTTATTTTATTACATCTATATAACATTATTCAATGTTAAATAGACTTGCCCTGTAATCTAATTTTTCCGGCAAAGCTTCGTTTCTTTGAAGCATTTCCTATTACATTATACAAAAAACATTTCAATTTCACTTAAAATGTCACTGAAACCGTTTACAAGCATACAAAATTCGTAACCCAATTACGCCTATTACCTAACCTATTACGCAGATATACCTAACCTACTACGCAGATATATTTGATTTTCATATTAATGAAAATTTACTTACCGTTCCTACGCCACCTTTACACGTGAGCTTAAACTTGAGCACTGTTTGGGGATCACGCTAAAAGAAAAAGAATTATATAATGTTATTTATTAATGTTATTTAATAAGTAAAAATGGAAAATTAAATGTGATACAGTAGACATAATACATTACGAACTAATTACTAGGAGCAGTCTGCCTACTAATTCGTAACAAAAATTTTAAAATCCACTTTAAATAGACTTAATGAATTCAATTTTATTGTGTACGTATTGTTGCGTGCGTACAGATTGGTAACATATTGAATGCATACAGGTCGGATGATAGGTAAATAAAATTTATTTTAATCAAATGGAACTCTTCAAAGTTCTGAAACGCTTCACAGAAATACCTCACTTCACTCTGAACTAACAACTCGCAACAACAATAACTAAACAACTCACAGCAGATGCTCTTTCTCCGGCCTTATATAGTTTTCAACCGGCCGCAGAGATATTTCTAGTACTTTCTGCTTCTCAAAATTACTGGAAAGCAATACGAGGGTAAAATTACGGTTACAACTAATACACTGGTTAATTACATTTATTCAGTTACAATACTTATTAGGGTGATACAGGGACCGGACCAAAATGTCACCAAATGGTCACCAAGTTTGGCGACTTCTGGCGATTTCTCGGTAATAAACCGCCAAGACCGTTGTCATCTTGACGATATCTCGCCAAATTACCGAGATACCCATTTACATATGTAAATGCACTTGCCCTGTAGTTTTACTTTTCTGGCATAACATGTCTCTTTTAGATTTTTTTTACGTTACATTACATAGAAAACTACAACAGTTTCGCATATAATTACACTAAAATCATCTATCTATGCACAAAATTCGTAATAATATTAAAGGACTAATTGTGTTTAATTATTTTAATCACGGGTATAATTCTCATAAATAATCATTTTTTAGAAGGTAAAGTAAATTTGTGATGTAAAGAAAAAGTATAAACATTGCATTTCACTACATTTCAACGTTAATTTAATGCACTGTTTTCACATATTACTGTGCATTCGTATACTTTTCCAATTTTTATCTAGATATACAGACAAAAAGGTCACAATAAAAAAGAAATTTTGGAAGAAATTTAATTTTTTTTAATTTCCATTTTTATTTTAATTAGAGAAATGCAGATATATCATGTTTACATATTTTGTCAAAGACTGTAATGTTTTACATATAAATATATACTTTACATATATACATGCATTTACATATAAATATATACTTTACATATATACATGCATTTACATATAAATAAAGCGCTTATTGTTTTCAATAAAGATGACAAGAAAAGATCTATTTTTGGTTGGAAGGTCCTGCTTTATCCTCACTGTAAAATTTTAAGCTTACTTGTCTTAAATCTATATTTATTTATCTGTCTAATAACTGAACATTTGCAAATGAATTTTACATTAAACTCAGAGATACGTAATTTTTGGATTCAGAAAGTCGATATTTCGCAAAAATAAAACGTTCATAAATGAAAATTCCATATTTATTTTGGGAAAAAGTATACAAATCCCTGTTTTTCGATCCTTTTGTAATCATATAAATTGTTGCTATAATTTGAAGAAAAATTATGTAAATTTAAAAAGATGAACTGAAAACTTACAGCGCTGTAGTGTCAACATTGTCGAAATAACCGATGTGCTAGATATTAAATCCTCTCTTAGCACCCACCCTAATCTGGGGACTATGAAAGCTTTAAATAGCTTTCGTTACAGAATACGAAAAATCATCGAAATAAGTGCCTTGATTGCCTACTTTCAAAAAGTGTTTATGAAATTGAATGTATCCGTCAATGAGAGTATCTTTTACGCTTTAAATATGAAATTTTAGAGATGCTTCGCTTCAAAGTTATTGTAGGAGTGCTCTTGGCTACGGATCGACAAGGTAATCAGGAAATATTTGGATAAGATTTATTTATTGCTTTAGCTAGCCTGTATTCAATCAGTTTATTTAAACTCTTCTCTGCTACTGGCATGAACTTTATTGTGTGCTTTTGACGATTTCACCTTTGTCATTTGTCGAATTGCATTCTATCTCGTCCACAAATTACATACCACTTTGACGCTTTAAATCATGCCGCCGAACCGGGATAGTAAATGCCATGGCCAAACACACATTGAAGGAACACTCAATTCCAATGAAGTACCAGGTGCATAACATAACTAGAGGTGACTTATAACTAAAACCATAGCCAGGCTTAGTACTATCAATCTTAGAGGATTGAAAATTGGCAGAGAAGGTGGGAAAACCTACATAATCTGTGATAAGTGCCAGGACACAGAACCGGCAACAAGACACTTTTTTACTGTCCAGCCATCCTTGCTGAACTGTTAAAAATTGGTGCTCTTGTTTAAGCGACCGAACCTCTACGATTATAATATTTTGCAGATTGCCAGTGATATCATTTTCGCCCAGCTCTTTGAATAGTCTTTATCACAGACACAACAACAACAAATCTCGTACTCATTCTGTGATATGTGACATTGGTTATTAAATTGTGTTCATAATTGCAACATATTGTAAAAGATACTACATGCAATGTAATTCGTTAAGAAATTTTATAGGACTGTAATATAATTTGCAATGTAGTTGAGTTTTATACTCGTTACAAAGAGGAATGCGAATAACATTAATCATCCACTCGTTTTAGGTTTAGGGAATTAACATTAATATCTTAAATAAATTTCAACATATTTGTGCGAAAATTAATTTCCAGCAGAAATTCTAAAACGCGGAAAGTTTGACAAACATATTTATCACAGACTTCTCAGATGTTCTGAATATTTTCGGAAAAAATGTTTTACGTTCTCTGCACATACTGGAACAAATTAGAATCTTCAATAGAAAATGGCCGAGGCTGTCCAGATGTGCGGATGATATATACCGTGGGGTTTTGTTATGAGAGGTTCATAAATCAAATGCATTCCACCAAAAAATAATCATCGTCGCCACCTCAGCTATTTTTATGACAGTTTACAGCACAAGCATGCATTCCCAGCGCTCATAAATCCCACTACTTTTTTTTAATTACTAGGCTTCATGAGACGTGAAATTTAAATGCTGGAAGAGAGGCTCCTGACGCATATATTCTCGTAGATAATGTTCCATGTCTAAATGATAAATATCTTAAGAATGAGATACATGAAAGAAAAGTTTTGTTTCATGTATGTAATCTTAAATGATTCTGTTTTCCTTTTGACGGGTAAGATCAGATGCTGTAAAAATTTAGAAAATTCGTTTAACGTTAGCGTAGGGTAGAGTAACGAACTTTCTAGTTCATGAGAAAGAATGCATAAATTAAGACTAAACTGACAAGAGTAAACAGATTGATTTAGAGCAGGGTTTCTTAAACTGTGGGTCCCAAACCCCAAGGGGGTCGCGGGACCTGCAGCAGGGTTTGCAAAAATTTTAGCAGTTTTGATATTTCATTAACTTATTACAATAATTTTACAATTACCAAATATTTATACACAATGTATCTGAAAATAGATAAAGATAAGACAAAACAAAGAAAAAAAACGAAAACCTTTCGACGCATTTCTTTTTATAATACGAACGCTCATTTTCCTTGCTTTGCACGTGAAGCTGTAATTTTGTCTGTTACTTATTTAAAATTTTCACACTGTTCTATGTCTTAGAGTTAGAAATTAAAGTTAATGACCTAAAACTGCAATAGTTTATTACAGTACAAGTGAAAAATGTGACAGTTTCATCCGTGTGTCGGATTTACGCAATACTTATAGGGTCCCACAAATTTTTTGTAAATATTATGGGGCCTGGGGGTCGCGAAATAATCTCAGTGATAAAAAGGGGTCGCGACTGTAAAAAGTTTAAGGGGACTAGTACACCTTAAAATCCATAACATCTTCGAATATGGGACTGTTGCAAGAATTGGAATAACTTAGTTATTTTAAGAGGAATTCCTTCCAACTTTTTATAGCTGACTATATAATGTTGCGTTTTTCTTTTTCTTCTGACACCAGTTGTTACGTTATTTTCTTCCTTCACGTTCGGGGTTCGTATGGATTTGAAGTGAATAATGACGACACTACGTGATGAAGTACCGAACACACTTTATTAGCCAGTATTGTCCGGACAGCTCAAAAGTCACTTTTACTGTCGTCGTAGACCTACTAAAAACACTCGCTGGAATAATCAGCGACACATCCTTCAGGTTATCAGGCTATCAGGTGGAGACAGCTTCCTGCAAAGCACCGACTCTGCTTTCCGGAGTACAGCTCTCGACTCTGTTTGGTCGTTCTTGGAACTCCACGTACTGTCGAGACTCTCCACGCTACAACTCGCAATGTACTCGACGACACACGAGCACAGCTCCCGACTCTTCGGTTCAGTCGTTCCCAGAGCTCAAACACGCTCTCTCGACGATGCACTAACCGCGATACTCTAAGAGACTCCTTCGGTGCACTCGACGACCCCACTCGGCACTCGTTGCCCAGCTGTCAACTCGATCGACTCCGCACGGCTCGCTAGACAAAGCACACTCTCGGAGACACTCGATGAGAGACATACACTAACTGACTGCGGACCAGCAGGGTTTATATAGCTTTTGGCCTGTGTTCGAGAACATTCTGGGCTAAACCGGTAAGAATTCGTTCCAGAAGGTTCTCCAACCGTCTATGGTATATCGTCAATTTTGTCGCCAAATGGGCGATTTCTCGCCAAATGTGGCACCTTTGCCTTTCTTACTATTTTATAGCAGCCCTAAAACTGTTTTGCGGGGAAGCCATCTCACCGCGCCTGTACATTTCTTAACAATAATATACTAACTGCTTTCCGAAATAGCAATCAGAAAGTTTGTGTTGCTACAAATATTTTTATAATTTAATCCACTTTGTGACAAAATGTTTCGTCATGTTTCCACCTTGCGCGCACAGTTTAAAACATTCTGTTGCATAACTTGATTCCATATTTAATATATAGCTTTTATGACATTTGGAAACTACCGTGAACCAAAAATTCTAAGAATTTCATGTTAAATTGTTATTTTATTTGGAGTT